GGGGGGGGGGGGGGGGGGACGGTGAATAAGGTTTTAACAATAAAAGTGTTTAAACGTGATTAATTTTTCTAATGATGAAACATTTTACAAATAAGTAGAAGATGATAATTACTAGAACAAAATAATTCAAGTCAAAACAATAATAAGTAGAATATCCAATAAATCATAATAATAATTTTGAAATTAAATAGGAAAGAGTTAGAAAATATGACACCGTAGTTTTATAGTGATTCGGTCAAACTCGACCTACTCCACTCCCCAAGCACCTCTTGGGAATTTGAATAAACAACTTTCTCGACTCTTCCCACGAATCAGAGCCAAACCGCTGCATCGTTTTTTTTACGAGTTCAAGAGCAAACTCAATTCTTTCTACGACGTAGGATCAAACTATTTGAATTTGGTAGTAACACACCACAACTCTCTCAAAGACTAGATTTACAATTTGAAGCACTCACAACTATTTTCTCACAATATAAAAAAAAAAAAAAAAAATCTCTCAAGAATAAGAATAAGATGAATAAAAATAAAATTGGAAGCTTGGAGAGAGCAACAAAGACTTTGAACATATGAGGATTGAAGAATTTATGGGAGTTGAACAAATGAGAATTGGAGAATTTATGGGAGTTGTGTTGAGAATGTGGGAAAGATGATGAGTTTATAGAGAGAAGAAAAGTGGTAAAATGTAGGAATTAATATTAACCATTGGAGTGTGTTAGGAGTAATGAAAGGTGGAGATTAAAAGTAAATAAATAAGAAAATTTTCCAAATTCATTTATTTAAAATTTTTAAATATAAAAATAATAAAAATTGATGTGAGTAACGGTCAAATGACAAATTCAAAATTTATTATAAATATAATAATATAATAATAATAAAACGTTATGTGAGTAACGGTTAAATTAAAATTCCAAAATTTATTATAAATATAATAATATAATAATAATAAAACGATGTGAATAACCACAAAAAATTTTAAAATATAATAATAATAATAATAGATATGAATAATGATTAAATTTAAATTTATATTTTGTAAAAATAATTTTATTTAAAAATATAATAATAAGAAAAACTCTACCCTTTATTACTTTTCCAAAATTACAGGTGTTACATTTTGATATACTTTGATTTGTCTATCATTTTGATTTTGTTGCCACATCATCACGTTGGGTATGTTGTCTCGACTGTAATTTCTTCGTTTTAGGTCTAATTTGAGTAATTGAAAATTCGTCGAAATCGTTATTCCCAACTTTATATTGTGGATAGTTCAAAATATTGAAAATAGTTAATAATTAAAACTAGATTTGTTATCATCAAAACATCAATCAACTAATGAATTGAAATTAAGTAAAATGAGATCAAGACCAAAAAGTCAACACATTGCACATGCGAGGAGGAACGTGCCTAGGGGAAGAATATGTTCGTCCACATTCTGACATGTGACACCCTTTGATTCATTCATTTGACTCCAAAGGACTGCATTCGATCTTTTATGAGCATGAAATTCCTTCGTTTATTCTTGTAATGACATGTGGCACACTCGTGTGATACACGAGTCATGGGTCTAATGAGTAGTTTGGGTTGGCTTGACAAGTAGACAGAGCTGGTTATCGAGTCGGGTCGAGTCTTTGGGACACGCATCACTGTTTGATGCAAGAAGTGTCGCTCCATTCCTCTCGCAATGTGCTACTCTCTTGGTTAAACGTAGTCTTCCATTGGCGATTTGACACATGTCTTCGCCCCTTCCTGAAACATGTCCTTCCTATGGCTGCACAAATTTTCTAGATTTCGATTAGATTATCGATTCTTTTCTATTTTCTTTAGATTTTTAAAACTTCCAGTACATAACTCAAATGAACTTGGTTTCTTGACTAAACCTGCATAATTTTGAACCATCTTTACAAAGGTATTTTTCTGGTAATTTATAATTAATCATAAAATGAAATAAATACGTCCAAAACTATAAATCTTATTATTTTTGACGCACACTAGAATGTTGTCTTCCGATTTGAACTAACTCCATCTTCCTTCATGAATATTGTGCGAAATTCCTCCAAGAACATCAAGATAATTCCAAAGCAAACTCCCAAATGGGGAGGAAAATCAAAACCAAAAACCCAAAATTCTTACATTCGTTTCTTCTTTGATTCTTAATGGATTTGAGTAGTCCAAAAGTTAAGAATGGTTCGTCCAAGACCACTAAGCAATTCTTGGGAAGGAACTTCAACAAAATTCTAACTTTAAACTATCGTTTGGAACAGATTCGATATCTCTTCACTTCTCTCTCAAAGCCTCCTCTCCTTTTCCCTTTCCTTGGTTCTTTCTTTTATTCTCAGTTAACATTCTTGGTAGGACTAACCTTTTTAGGCTAATCCTTACCCCTAACTAGTAAATGGTCAAAATGACTATTTTTCTTTTTATTGACTTTAACAGAATTTTTCACTATTTCCTTTTATATTTTTGTCTGAGTCATTTTTCTTTTCTATCTTATTTGACCAACAATAAAATTCTTGAACTTGAAACTTAAAAGAAAAAAAAAAAAACATATATTTAATTTTTGGTCTATTCTTACTCTTGTATTTTATTCACTGAGTTAGGTTATTATTTACCATTTAATTTTTGTAGTTAACAATATAATATTTAAATTAGTTGAGATAAGTTTAGATTAGTAGGAATCAATCAAACGTTTGAGATAAGCTACAAAAAATGAGTCCATTTTATTTTATTCGAGAGAACAAAGAAAACAATATTTTATTCTAATGACCAAAATCAGTTTATTAGCATCTAAATTATATTATGTCATTTTTAATTAATGTGATTAAAAAATTGATTTTTTATAGCTCACTTTACCTTGCATATAATACCTTAAATTTCTATATACTCACCTTAAATTTCTATATACTCATAGTTCCTACTAATGTCTCAGGATCATCTGCAGAAATATAACTCTTAAAAGAAAACATCATCTATAATATAAATGTTGAAAATATTTAAAACATTCTCTTCTCTGGGAAACACAGTCATGATCTTACGTGTTTAAATACGAATCAGTGAAATTTAGAAAAAATAAAAACAAATATGCAAAACAACGTATTTTAACATAAGACTAGAAATTTAAATATGAGTCTACCTTATGCAGGTGGCATAGTCTCTGCTCACGATATCGCCGTACATGTTCGTCTTTTCTTTACCTGAAAAATGATGTGGCACACAACCTGAGTATTTCGAAAAATACTCAGTAAGTGGCCCCACTATAGGGAGCCATGCAAATGCAAACACATGCAATCATGCTCTTGGGACCGATTTTTATTCTCCAAGGGTGGCCTCCAATCTCGGACTACTATGGATGTGTAGTGCGGAAACACACGATCCACACATGTGAGTGTGAATCTCCATGGGGCTCGCACACCCCTTGGACCCTCTTTAGTCAAGCTAATCTGTAGCGATGTCTGGAGGTCAGTAGAACCCCTTGGTGTCATGCTCCCCATAAACACCCTCATCATCATATTGTGCTCATCCACATTTATCGTCTCTAGGGAAGTATCCCTACGCTTATGAACATATAATATGCATGAGGTTTTTCTAAATTCCATCCTATCATCTCTTCTGACAAACCCTCTAGGCCCATCTCTTTGTTGCATTAAGTAACATATGCTTATTGGATATGTATATTAGTATCATTTTCATGCACTTAGAGTTTGTCTTATGTCGGCCTATCGACATGATGCAATATGACACTATCATCATATAACATGCTTAATATGGAAAACATCAACATATTAAGACAAATGTCATGCAATCATTATACACACCATATTGCCATAAAGTGCATCAAACATATCAAGTACGTCATTCATCAAAATATATATATTATGCATATCATCAAGCATCATAACTCATATATCATCATATACTAGTATACGACATCTTACGATACAAATCATACATCAACATAACTCATATATCATAAATTTTAACTCATACAATTTATAGTCTATTCTATAGTAAGGCCACTTGCTTGGTTGGCATCGAGCATATCAAGTAGCCAAAGTTCTTGGAATTCGTTTTCACTTATATCGGGCTTTCACTTATTTTAAATATAAACTTAATTGACTCAATAAAAAATCGAATTTCATGTTTTCCTT